GAGTTTCTCTCCTCGACGCACTACTCCCAACGCAATGATGACCCTATCATCATAGGGTGGCGGCACAGTTCCCGAAAGATGCCTCGTCTGCTCGAAAGACACGCGCCGGTGAGGATCCTCCGAGCATCCACCGTGAAAGATTTGTCCCCGAGAACGACACGGAGAGGCCCTCGAGGACCTACATCTCTGACCCAGGCGCGAGACCCCGAAGCAGAAACGACCTGAGATCAAGCCATGGCTCCTAACAAAGGAACCACGACTTGGGGGGCTCCTGTTCTGGACTGGGCCCGACAGGCCCAATAGCATTGCTGAAGCCCAATCCAAATGGACTTGCTGAGGACCACGCCGACCAAAGGGTCACAGTCGTGCCCGACGTGCTCCCTGAGGTTACTTGCTCGACCTCTACATCTCCAGCTCGACATCCTGCTGTCCAGCTCGACATCACCTCGAGCACCCCAACTAGGGCAGACTCAGTCCACTGCACTCCCAACGAGACCCCGAAAAGACCGCGTCTCCGTCCGCCCGCACTTCACGCAGAACATCCAGGAAGGGGACCACATGCGGGTCCCCACTACGCACGTAGAACCTGGCAGTTCCTCCATTGGGCCAAACCTGCCTGGCCCAATGAAGGAACCTTGGCCCAGCGCTGGGGGCTATAAATACCCTCTGTTTCCAGAGGGTCAGGTATTCATCATTCTACCTATACTTTCTATTGCCTGCTCGTGCTTCTACTTACTTCAGCATCGGAGTGTCTTGCAGGTACCCCCCCCCCCTCCCCCCCCCCCCCTACCTCGTTCAAAACTTTCAGCTCGGAGCCAGCCGTGACGGTCCATTTCTGATCAGGTCAGATCACTAACCCTTTAATTATTTTTATTATTAACAATTAACTTAATTAGCACATTTTCATAAAAAAACCAAAAAATAGAATTAACATTATTATCATTATTATTATTTTATTTTGTAAATAAATATTAACCAAAATAGTTTAATTAGGCAATTGTAATTCCTTTTCTTAAATAATTAAAATAACTTAGATTTAGGATTAACTTTTAATTTTGTTTCTTTCATTTTTATTTTATTTCATAAAAACATAAAAAAAACAAAAAAATATTTTCTTTTAATTAAAATAATCAATTAGTCATTAATTAGTTTTTAATTTCATTTAATTACCAAAAAGACCAAAAAAATCAATTTTCTTTTCTAAAAAGGGTCAACACCCTTAGAACATTCTGATTTAATTCGCGCACAGTTTATTATTATGTAATTGCTCTGGACATGTAATAGTAATTAGGACTTTACTGTTTTTATTTACTTTCCGTACTCATTTACTAAAAAACGGGTCTTTGTAATTTTTGGCGATGTATAGACCCGCGCCTTGTAATAGCGTAGGATTTATTTTTCCGCAATTTACTTTCCGCACCCCTTAACTGTTAACTTGCATGAAAGAATGTATGTAAATAAAAACAACTCGTAGCTCACTAATTAACAAGACAAACATTAACTGAATACAACACACAAATACACACACCACTTTTAGGATACGCCTCACTTGTTGCCTTCGAAACGTGGTCGTCAAGTATAGGACGTCTTAGCGGTCCTTATGTCCATGATCCAGTTGCCTTGAAACAGTTGCCTTGAAACAGTTGCCTCGAAACAGTTGCCTCGAAACGGTTGCCTCGGATTAAAAAAGGATCAAGGACATAAGGGTAGCTTCTAAGGTGTCCTATTGTTGCTTCGGTGACCACACTGTCCCTACAATCGAATTGACCCGAACACCTCCAACGGTGGTGCTACCTACCTCTCAATGGTGGGATGGCACTACCTAAAGGACACTCACACAACTTAATTCCTTAGGGTAGGTAGATGACTCATGGGTACTTGCTCTTTTCAAAAACAAACAAAATACTTTTCACACCTTACACTTTCAAAAGCTTTCAAAACAAATTTTTCAAACACTCTTTAGGGCAGATACAAGAGTTATTCAGAAATCTTTCAAAGAAACTTTTTCAAGCCCACTCACATTTTTGAAAAGCAAACATTTTGAAAACATAAGAGCAAGTACCTAAGAGCCCATGGATAACCATGGATAGAAAGGGTGCTAACACCTTCTCTTTCTATAAATCTACCTCCCGAACCGAGAAACGTTCTCATAAGGAATTTTGTTGTGCTTTTGTCCTTTCCATGTTGGAGAAAATAAAAGACGGTGGCGACTCTTGCTTACCGCGACATTTCGCGAAACCAGCACTAAAAAACAGTCAGTTCTATTTCCACCGATCACACCACAGTCTATCATTTTTTCACCTTCATTCTTAGATTCCATCAATAGCACAAATTCATCCTCTGAATCTCTTTTTGCTATATTGGCTTCTTCACTCTTGCTTTCTTTATTTGACCAACAATTAAAGGCAAAGTGGTCAAATCTGTTAGAATTATACCACTGAACCTTTCTCTTATCAAACTTATCCTTTCCTTTCTGAACATTCTTATGTTTATTCTCTTCTGAAGAAGAAGAAATTTCTGACTTTTGAACATTCATTTTCTTGTTCGCTATCCATGCTTGCTTCTTATTCTTCTTAACAAAAGAAACCTTTAAAGCCTGCTCTGACTCCTTTTCAGAGTTCCTTTCAGTCAGACACAACCGTTGTGCCTCTAGACTACTATGAAGTTCTTTAATTCTAATGGTGCTAGTGTCTTTAGAATATTCTATGGCTACAACTATGTAATTAAACTGAGGAGTAAGTTTTTCAATGATTACTTGTTCAAAAAGAGTTTCTCCATAAACCTTCATCTCATTTGTGATCACAGTCACTCCGGAGATGTAATCTGGTACCTTTTTATTGTTTTTCATGTTGAGATTCTCAGATTGCTTGCGTAGGGACTGTAATTTCACTTTCTTCACTGATGTGTCACCACCATAGCACCGCACAAGTGTATCCCACACTACTTTCACCATCTTCGCATTGAAAATCTTTTCAAACACCTGCATATCCATACACTCATGGATAAAGAACAATGCCTTGTGACCCTTCTTCATCGTATCACTTTACGCATTTCTTTGCGCTTTTGTTGCATCTTCTGCAACTGACGTGTAAGTGTCATTGACGAGATCAAGAACATATTGGGCTCCAAATAACACACACATCTGAATCGACTATCTATTCCAATTCTTTCCATCGAATATTAGAAGCTTTATCTTCAAGATTTCGTTTCCTCCGTTCATCTTTGTTCGTGTGCAAATCATTCAAATCTCACAAAACACTCATGTTTCCTAGCCCTAAGAATCAAGAAATGTGATTCTTCTCTGATTTTGAACTTCAACTCAGTGTGAGTTTTAGGAACGAAATCAATCACACACCTCATGTACGCTCATGTTTTTCATGAATCAAAATAAGAGTTCTGGATACTAATTTATTGGAGTTTACACCTCCATTGATGCACAAGAGGAAGAAGATGAAAATGAAAGAAATGTTTAAAGAGAGAAGAGAGAGAGAAAAGGAAGAAGATGAAAATGAAAGAAATGTTTAAAGAGAGAAGAGAGAGAAAAATGTAACAACTTTTCTAACTAACTTCTCAAAGTTTGAAATGGAATAATTAACATGAAATTACAACTTCTCCATCCTTTTATACACCACAAAATACTAACTAAATAAAACGCAAATATTAATAACAATGTTCAATCTGAATTACAACTAACAGCACCAATGTACAACCTTAAGTCCTTACCTTTTTACTTTAATTTTAGATGTACTTACAAAACACATCTAAGAGTTAACATTCATATATATGTTTTTTAAAAATGATATACTCTTATTTGGAGAGTATAAGGAGGAATTAAATGAGAGGTTGGAGACGACGAGTCTTAGAAACGCATGGCTTCCGCCTAAGGTAAAATAAGACATAATATTTGTAATGAGTTTAGAAAATGAAGAAGTGTTTTTAATTTAGAGGTGAAAATTGCAATTACATAATTAAAATATCTTAAGTTCATAGTCCAAAATAATGGAGAAGTAGAAGGTGACATTAATCATCAACTATAAGACTAATAAGACTAATAAGACATTAATCAAGTTGAATGGTTGACAATAAAGAAAGAGTTTCATGGACAGCTATAAGACTAATAATGTCGTATTAGATAAAATGTTGGGATGTAATGGACCAACACAAAAATAAACTAAGTGTGGTAGAAATGAATTCATGTATTAGATGCATAATAAAATTAGATAAAATCATATTAGAAATGAAAATATTAAAGAGAATATTTAAAAACACCTATAATAAAAAAGATAGTGAAAATTAAACTTACATAGTTTAAATAAATAGAGTGACGATATTCAGATTCTATAGTTATTAAAATAACAATGATGAAGGTAGTCAAGTCTTTAGAAAAATTATATGAAAAACCATTAAAAATGTTGAGGTTAATTAATTTGATAGAAATATAATTTTGATAAAATATTATTCCTCCATCTTAATGCAAAAAGGTCGGTTATTGTCGGAATAAATTACCTATAACTTCTATTAAAAAATTCAATGAATAAGTCTCATAGTGTCCTATAAGAGATAACCGGCCATGACAAAACATTCACTTGTACTCTCTTCTATTCTTTGGTCTACTCAATATTAATTTCCCGAGTTAGTGCAATTGATCAAGGGTAAGAAAGTAATCTAGCCTTAAAAGAAACCAAAACGATGTTCCCAAAGGGAAGATAAATATTCATTCACACACACGCACTGGCCATATGTCAGTCGATCACTATTCACAAACATGATGCAAAGTCAGTTTACCAATTTCCCAAAAAATGAACAAAACAACACACATTTGCACTGTCTCAATCCTATTTCATCTCATTGGTGAACTCAACCAGTCCATTGTCTCTCCCAAAGGAAACATCCCTCAACTTTATCTAACACACTCTTGTTTCATTTTCACACATCTAACTTCTTCAACCACCATTTGTATCAATATTCTCCCTTATTCCTCTCAGCAATACTCCTTCATCATGTCTCCATCTAGAATATTCAATCTTGCAATCACTACTTCTTTCATTTTCTCTCTCATTGTTCTACTTCCTAGATCAGGTAAATAAACCCTAATCTTTCTATTCTTCTAACATGTATTTAGGGTTATATTATATATTAATATATTGATTTTTTTTCTTCTTTTCATGCAGGTGGAAGTGTTTTGTGTGACGAGAGTGATTTGGAGGAAAGGAAAGTTGTGATAGGGTCAAAGCCACCTGAATGTGTTAACAAGTGCATGAAGTGTAGGCCATGCATGGCTACTGTGGTTGTTAATGATCATGATCACCAAAAGAAGAAGGGTTTCAAATTAGATTCTTCTCATGAAGAAAATGATAGCTATTATCTCCTTTCATGGAAATGCAGATGTGGTAATAAATTGTTTCAACCATGATTAGTTAGTTTCATCCAGAGTCTAGTTAGAGCTTCTTCTATATACTGTATTAGTCCATTTTTTCTTCTTAATTTTCTAAGTAATTAGTGGAAGTGGGATCGAAGTTTTCTCTTCATATTGATCATTATGGTCATTATATATGTGTATTAATTTGTATGGTTAATTATATGTTGTTAAATTAATGTGCATTTAGATTTTCTTTGATGAACTGAGCTTGTCCATGAGACAGAATTGGACAAAGAACCCAGCAGTTGTGTCCGTAATAATGAAGTGGGGTCTGGGGGTTCATATATAGGAGACCAAAATGTTTGGAACTCAACAGATTGATTTTACTTGATTTGACTGGAAACTAATTTTTTTTTCAATGCGATGACTATGAAAATAGTCTCATCCAAATGTCAGCATTTGACAAGCCAAGCTTAGCTGCATAGGTAGGTCGAAATCACCAAAGTAGTAAATGTCGGTAATTTTAAACAGTGCAATATATATATATATATATATATATATATATATATATATATATATATATATATATATATATATATATATATATATATATATATATATATATATATATATATATATATATATATATATATATATATATATTCTAATGTGAAACATGAAATAAGTATTGCGTTGATGAAGAACGTTGTGAAAGCTCTCTAGTACTGTGGCAAGAGTCTCCGATAAGTGAAGAGAGAGTATAATTATAAGATTAATATTTCAATGTCAACGCCAGTAAGGTTAGAGATGTATAACTTACAAGAATGGAATGAATCATATATTGATGGGGCACAAAATCACGATTATATATGGATGGTGGATAGAACCGCTCTCGATGAATGTTGTATGAAATATAAAAGACTGTTGGAATGACTCCATTGACTGAGATGAGTGTGGTGGCTAGCTCTAGTACACGTCTTCTTAATGAGGGTCTATCTCTTTGTTAGTCTCGAGTAGACGAAACTCTAGATTGGACATTTGATTTGTACTGGTCTTATTGTATCGTATGGTCGGTTTGTGACAATTTCTCCATAGCCCTTGTTATTGAGCATAAATATAAGATTATTGTAGAATGGTTGAGATCGCCTTCATGAAATTTCTTCTCTGATATTCAAAATGGGGTTGATGGCGAGTTGAGTGAGAAGGGGTGGTATTGGGAGCATGCACATTAAATGTTTGTCTTGTAACTGAAATATTTCACTATGAAAATCTTCCATGTACCCTAGTCCTTCAGGATAGGGACATGCAACATCACTATAGCACTTGAGTGTCGTCATGGAACCGAGGTTGATCCCGGATTGTTGATCGTATATTCTAATGTCAATTGATTCCTTATCGTAGACCTAGACACCCCTAACTTGTAAGTTGGAGGAATGCAATCATTTTCTCTTTTCACTCAATTTTCTCCTTAGAACTATACTTCTAGTTTTTCCTACAATCTTTACCTTCAAGTGATCTTCCGACTTTTTTCAATCTTCATCTTTATTCGTGCAACATTTTTGAGTCTTTGGTGGTTTAATTTTCATGCCTTCAAACCAAACCCTGGAAACATTTAAAGTAACACTCTCTTTCTTTACCTTTTCAGTTGCTACCATTTATTTCTAGCTATAGCCAAATAAGAATCCAAATATTTCCTTCGTAGAATTGGTGAATGATGATGAAGTGACACCTCATCGCAAGCCTAGGTGATAAATCCAAAGGTATTAGACGTGTCTCTTTTAGACGTGAGACATCCTTATGTAGATTATATAGAGATTAGTAAAATTTTAATATTACGGGGAGTCCAAGCGAGGATGCTGAGGAGTTGGAGGATCCCCTAGATGTGGAAAATCCTAAAATGGGTGTTATTAGAGGTGGAGGGAGTTGCTCCCATTAGGATTAATATCAGGTAAGTTGTTCATGGTTTTGCCTTCCTTGAGCTTCCTACGCTGAACCTAGAGACTATAGATATGTACAAGGATGAGAAGACTTATATTTATATTAAGACCTATAGGCTCTTTTATGCCCATGACCCGAGTGACATTGAGGTTAGATGGTGGACATTTCTCATTCACACTCTAGTACTCACAATCATAATTGTTTATTTGTTGATAGTGAGGACTAAATGGTACAAATGGGATAACATACTCTTGAGTTCTCCGCTGATGAAGATTATTTAGGTGGTGGGCAGAGTCCCATTCATGCTCTAGTACTCAAAATTGTAATTGTTGATTCGTCGGTAGTGAGGAATAAATTGTACAAATGGCATAACAAACTCTTAAGTTCTCCGCTGACGCATATCAGTTCCCATGGGTTTAACGAGATATCTTGGACATGATGTTCGTCTTTAGTGAGACACAACAAATAGAAAATTATGAATTGTACATTCACGATTGTTTGTCTATAGAATGAGGTTTAGTCTTCCCTTCAACGAGTTTGAGGTCAAGTTCATAAATCACTTGAGAATCACCTTCTCTCAACTGCACCCTGTAATTTCGGCCTATGTCAAGTTTTTCCAATACTGGTATGAAAATAAGAGATGTGTCTCCACTCTAAAGCTTTTATTACACATTTTCAATAGACAACACACCTCGGCCACGCTAGACCAAGATCAAGGATTGCTTTCCTTCAATCAATGTAAGAAGATGTTTAAATTTTATATGGACAACTTCAAGTATTTTAATGATAACTACTATTTGCTTACCTTCCTCACTCGTGACACCAATGAAATTTTGTGTGTTGTATCAGACAATTATATTATCATAGACACTCTTCCTCGGGGTGTAGCTCATCTTTTCCTCAAAATGCCCCGACAACTCAAAAGTGTGTAGACATATTTCTCAAGTATTTGAGGGATACTTTTTTTTTTATGTGCCAAGATAGATCATTTGATTTTTTCTTCAAAGGTAGAGAGTTTAAAGGTCGATATAGTCAAGTTCTAGAAGAATCTAAAGTTTGCGGATGAGGTTGGTCCTTTTTATAGTAAGACCCTAAAGAAAATAAAATGACATATAGAAATATGGTTGTTGGTAGAGGAGACCATAAAGAAAGAGACAAACAGATATTTAGTGAAGATAGGAACTTTAGCTTATTCATTATTTTTTTAGTATTGCCTGTTTTTTCTTGCATATTCATCATTTATATTTTTGTAGATAACTAGTGGGATATCAGTGCGTTCGCACGGGTACCGATATGATAGGTGCATTTATTTCTAAAGTATAATAAAAATAAAATATTGTTTTAAAAGAAATAATAAATCGGTGCCTATAATTCTTTTAATATATAAAAATATTTGAATTTTATATATATATATATATATATATATATATATATATATATATATATATATATATATATATATATATATATATATATATATATATATATATATATATATATATATATATATATATATATATATATATATATATATATATATATATATATATATATATATATATTATTTTTGTTTTGGATTTATTGTCGAAAATATTTAAACTAATAATAAAGTTGTTCTATTATTATTCAATAGTTTGATTACCATGTTCAATATTCAATAGTTTAATCAATAACTTCATGTTTTCGTTAATATTCAATATTTTGATCAATAACTTTATATTCTCGTTAATATTCAATATTTGATCAATAACTTCATGTTCCCATTAATATTTAATATTTTGATCAATAACTTTATATTCTCGTTAATATTCAATAGTTTGACCAATAACGTTATGCTCTTGTTAATATTCAATATTTAAATTTGTAAATTCATGTTTCCGTTATTATTTAATATTTTGATTAATAACTTTATGTTCCCGTTAATATTTAGTATTTTGATCCTTAATTTAATATTTCCGTTAATATTCAATATTTTGATCAATAACTTCATGTTCCCGTTAATATTAAATATTTTTTTAATAACTTTATGTTATCTTTAATATTCAATATTTTGATCAATAACTTCATGTTCTCATTAATATTCAATATTTTGATTAGTAACTTCATGTTCCCGTTAATATTCAATAGTTTGATCAATAACACTATGTTCTCGATAATATTCAATATTTTAATTAGTAAATTCATGTTTACGTTATTATTCAATATTTTTATCAGTAACTTCATGTTTCCATTAATATTCAATAGTTTGATCAATAACTTTATGTTCCCGTTAATATTCAATATTTTAATTAGTAACTTTATGTTCTCGTTAATATTCAATAGTTTGATCAATAAATTCATGTTTCCGTTAATATTTAATATTTTGATCAGTAACTTTATGTTCTCGTTAATATTTAATTTTTTAATCAGTAACTTCATGTTTTTGTTAATATTCAATATTTTGATCATATTTTTAAAAGAAAGACTTATTCTTAAAATAAAAATAAATTTGTTTTACAAAAATTATTTTACATCAATAATATATATTTCGATTTTCCATATATCATCTTGAATATTTTTGTAACTTGAATTATAAGTAATTTCAAAATAAAAAGATTAGATACATAAATAGTTAAAAAACAAAACATAACATTTTTATCATGTTTGAATTAATATATATTTGATTTTATTTTCTTTAATTGTACAAAAAATATAATAACATGTGCGTTTACACGGATTTTGATATTGTTACTCGTGCGAACATATGATATTTGTGTGTTACTCGAGCGAACACATGATACTTATTCATATTATTATTCAATACTTAAATTAATAACTTATTATCAATACCATATACGCGTGTTATATCAGTACTCGTGTTTTAAAAAATAATAAATTAAGATTTCAATCAATAATATATTTTTTACATTTATAAAAATAATAAATATTTTTTTTGACATTATTTATAAAAAAATATGAATCAATAGTAAACTTAGTCGCATTTGTAAAAATGAAATTGTTTAAAAATATTTGATGATAATAAAATATTTTATAATAATAAAAATCTTAAATTGACAAATTATAGTGAAGAAATATTTAATCAAATTATATAACTCAATTAGTAATAACTATTTAAT